GCTGTCCTCTGGCTCCCTACATTTTTGTGTGGTGGAGGATGTTAGAATAGATTTTGTCTGAATTAACCAGGTTGATATTTAGTGTGAGATATTAGTTCCTCCAGATTGTCTCACAGCTTGAACCTTTGTTATACCATGTTCTGTGCGTTTTACAGGGTTCTCTGAGACAATTACCATACTAATACATTTTAAAACAGTCATTGACTGGGAAGATGCCAAGTGCCTTAATGGTCTGCTTATATACAGGCATTGCATTCTCAGTTGTTAGTTTATATTGTTTAGTAAAGTATACATTTAGGTGCAGATTTTCCATGGCAACAATCTCTATATTAGGTACTTGGGAATGATGGATGTATGTGGTTTTTATACAATTCATAGTAAAATATTGCTGGTTGCCATACTGCTATAACAGCATACAAGTACCTGAGAGTCCAAACCAGCTTCATTCTGTCAACATCTTTTTTTTTTTTTTTCCCTAATTCTGTTTCGTACCTAAAATTTCCAGAAATACTTTCAGGGTATAGCATAACCCTACACAGAATTACATTTAATATAGATTGCATTAAAATGGGAATCATCAGCTTTTCTGTATTTTATCTCCATTTCTACAAAAGGCTTTCTTCTTAGCAAACCGTTGCGTAAGTAACTAACATACTAATCCAGGATATTGTGTTAAATTCATTCCAGTCCTTTTTATACTGAGGACTAGTATAAATAGCCAGTTATCCCTACTGTAAAAGTTAATCTGCTGTAGACCCCGAGATCTCAGGAGTTACGGAGTGAAGGAAGAGGTGAGTTGTCATGTATCTGTGCTTTAAGCTGTAGCGCAGCAAAAAGCAGAAGCTGCCGGCAGAGCGACATGGTCAAGGAGAGCTGAAAGACGCTGTGTGGTGTTCGGCGGGGGCCTCCCAGTGCCTGCATCGAGTTTTAAAGCTGTCAGTCACAATGCTGAGTCTCCTCCCCAGTACTGAGAGCTCTCTGGCTCACTGGTTTCATTTAAAGATCCCTCTCCAGTCTTACCGAGCCTGATTTTGTGCATTAAAAAGTCCAGATGGATTCCTTGTGACAGTAACTCTGTTTTGCTCAGCATCGAGCTGTAGCTTGAAAAGCTGCTTGAGCTTGTGGTGTGTTGTAGCTGGCCCTCCTTAAACCCTGGAGGACTGAAGTGACATCTTGGGCCCTGGGATTACGTGGTACATTTGTATAACAGCATTCCAACACACGCTGGAGGTTATCAAAACCTTGAACATCTTTAATATTTGTAGGATTTTCCTAGTTACATCAGTGTAGGGGTTTTTTGCAGGGCCAAAGCTACTGTAGCACTGTGTCTGCTATAGGGAGCAAAGCTGGTACTCCCTATAATTCCAGTTAGTAACTGGAATTTGGTAATGCAGCATATCTCAGAAGAAATTACAAACTTGCCCTGTATTTATTCCAGGTGAAAAAAATTTTTAGCTGAAACAGGCATGGGGTTTTGGTTGTGGTTTTTTTTCTTTTTAACACAATTTGAGTAACTGTGCAAGTTCCTAATGGCTAAGGATGCTGGGACACGAGACCTTTTAAGAGGCCGCTTGTTTCATCCATGTCCCATAGAGTGCAAATTCCACACTTAACAACAGCTTCTGCTTTCCTGCAACAGGCAGTGGTGGTGATCCTTTAAGAGTTGCTTGTTGAGCAGCTGCCAGAGCAGAGGCTCACGTATTTATTACTGCTGGGAGATGCCTCTTGTCAGCAGTGACTAATGATTGTGGATTATGGTATCAAAACCAGAAAGAGGAATTCAAGAGGGCTGTATATTGATAATGTGAATGTCCACTTTGTCACTGCTTTTTAATAGATGTACTAATGGCAAGGCAGAAGTTTCAGCAATGCGTGGCAGGAAATCCTTTAAAAGATGGCAAAATAGCTGGAAGTCCAACAAAGCCCCATCATGCCGCTGTAGGCATCTGAAGAAGCCTCATGTAAATTATTAAGATGGCTCAGATGATGGCCTCACTAATCTGTGGGTGCTGTGTTACACAGTGGTCAGGTTTGCTGCTCGTACCCATTGGATAGCTTTGAGATGGGGGATACCTCCACACTGGCTTACTTGGGAAGACAGCACGGTGAAGAGTTCCCACTTCTAATTGTTCGCCTGTCCCAGCCCTGCTGTTCATGCACCCATAACTGTGCTGGTGCAGAACTTTATGGGGCTGCATTTTAAACAGGTTTGCTAAATTTATCCAAATTCACAGTAGCCCTGCCCTGCCTTCCTCCTGTGTTCAGTGAGCAGCCCAGGTGTAGGATCTTCTTGAATTCACTTCGCCACTGAAGGCAGCCTCTCCTGGACATAAAGCCCTATTTCTCTTTTTCATGTCTTATATTCCTTTCCTTTTCAAAGTAGATGCTCTGTCTTTGAGGGTGGTACGTCCTAGTGTTATTTCTGTTTCCTGTGACCTTTGGGATTCTGTGCCAATTTTAACACCAAAAATTAAGTGAAGCAGCGCTAGCCTGAACTTCTCCGTGGAAGTTGCAGGCCAGTAAGTTCTGTTCTTTCTTTGCTTAGATCAGGTGTGCCTGTACTAAGCAAAGAAATTATTGGTGGGAAATTAATGTGGCTTCTGCAAGCAACGTAACGGCATCAATTATGTATCACTATGTTTTAGGCCTCCTGAAGCATTTATCCTGTAGTGATGAGCACTGTTGTTGGGAGCAGGGGCTCTTGGGTAAGGTCCAAATGTGTGGCATTGCGTTTATGGATTGCGTTAGGAGGTTTGTTTCAACGTTTGTGGCATCTTCACACCGAAGAGAAGCCATTGAGACTGCCCCAGGTCAGGCAGACCTGAGCAGAAAGACCTGCTGCGTTGGTCTCAATGCTTCATCTCCGGTGTGTAATCATATTAGTTATTGCAATAAGTAATGCTTGTAAAACGACTTGGTACAGCTGTTTTGTTTGGGCATGAGGCATTGTAGAAGTCTTACAAGCCTAAGGCGTTCCAGTCGACAACAGCTTCTTCAGTCTTTTTTTCATGTAGATAAGGTTATCAGGAACTGTCTTGTTAAGAATACAGTATGTGCCAAAGCATCCTGCTTGTTTACTCAATTTATCAGTTTCGTAAAAATTTCAGCTGCCCTATTTTTAATACCTTCTTCCCCGATCTCTTTATTGAACACACGACAGTGACATTGCAAAGAGCCGAATTGGGACCTACTGAATTCTGTAATGCTTGGCACTCTGTAAACAAAGGAAGAGTGAGGTATAATTGTGTTTACGTTGAATTGGTTACAGTTTGTTTTCTAATATATGTAAATTAGGTATGAGTCATTAACCCTCACTTGTGCGCTGCTGTATATATGGAATAATTTAAAGATGATTTTGAAAGCCTGCAGAAAAAAAATCTAAATAATTAAATCCGTGTTCTTTCTTTTAAAGCAACTGGAAGAAAAACTGAAAGGACAGGCTGATTATGAAGAGGTTAAGAAAGAATTAAAGTAAGTGTTAAATGCTTACATAATTTTTTCACAAACTCTAGTTTAACAATGCTTGTTAAATGAAGCCACAAATCTGTGTTCTTGGAGCACTAAAGAATTCAGTCAAAACCACAAAGACAAGCAAATTGGGAATATTGGCAGAAATTGCATCCAGAACCAGTGCAACTGCTCTGTCTGAGAGTACTACTTTTTGTTGCAGCAGACTATTGCAATGGCAAATGTATTTACAAGTGCCCATGAAGAAAAGGCCCTAAAACCAAGGGTGAAAAGTTTGAAAATCTGTGGTGTTTTAGGTGGTATGATGTTTAAAAATCCCCAGCCAACAGCTGAATGTAATGTGGACCAAGAATTTAATGCAGGGCCTTTGGTCATAATAGCTTTTCGATGATTTTGCCAGCCAGTGTTCAGCACTTACCATTTTAATGCTGAGCTTGTTTCACTGTATATTTTTGCTAATATCTTGTGGTTTTAAACTAAAGCCACAAACAGCCTCTTCCTATTTCAAGGGGGTTTTTTAACAGACTTGAAAGAGCCTCATTTTAAACTATAACAAGACAAACTGTCAGGTTCAGAAGAGAAGCTTTTTGACTGGAAATATGTTTAGTGTCAAAGTTTAACTAACTGCAAGAAACTCCATCTCCTCTTTCATCATTCCGGCATTTTTGTGTGTATTTTAAGAAGACTGAAAAAATGTTACCTTGTTTAATGAGCTATTTCAGATGAGGTTGGTAGTCATGTGCTTTTGTTTACACGTCCCTGGAGAATATGGAAAGCAGGTTTGATTTTGCAAGCCCAGTGACTGCCCAGCCCCTGGTGCTGTTATATTCGAGCCACGCTGGCTGCGGTTCTGGGTGACTGCCAGCTGCAGCACCCCCCGATGTAGGGATATCATCTCAGTCCTGTGAAACGAGTTGACCATTTCTTTGGTCATTATACCTGAATGTTAACTGGTCTCAAAAAAGCATCATCATTTTAGTGATATGGGTAAATATGTCCATGGTCTCCCCTGAGTTAAGGAAACTCAGCCTCAAATTTCAGCCAGTTTATGCCCTCCTTTATAAAGTAGTGAATGGGAATGAGGTCACAACCTCCCGATTCTACATGAGTTACTAAATGTGAATGTGCCAAAACAGCAAATGAGTTTTAAATCCTACCTGGTTTACTGCCTTTACTTTAGATACGAAACTCATTTAGATCCCTGTATTCCTGGTGGTAATGCCTTTTTTTTTTTTTCTCTTTAACAACACTGACACTTACATGAGGGCAGGGATGGGAAGGCAGATAAGAGGTCCAGGAGAAGCCATGACACAGGAGTGTTCATACGGTGTTTCTGCCTGTTCCTGTTACTTTGAGATGAGCCTGAGCAGTGAAATAGCTGGGAGAATCTCTTGGAAGTGGCCCTTGGTTAGGTGTAAATTAACTCTTTGTTCTGGCTGTTACAGCTTTTATATCCCCTAATTTGTGGGTAAGATTTTTTTATCTGGGCAGGCTGACTTTGGAGGGACAGCTAGCTAGCTTTGAGGTGGCCTGGGGTCCATACACTGTCATGCCGGATGGTGTGGGGGTTAAGACCCTCTTGTGAGAGCACTGAAGATGTTTGCAATGCTGCATTGTCACAGCAGCTCATTCACGCCACCCTCTCTGCTCCCATCTAGTCCAAAAGATGTGCCAAAATCTAAATGTACATCACTCAGGAGTGGCAGTCTGGTCTGAAGTGAAACCATGAACAGTCTATTGCTGTAAATCTGGTATCCCTTAGACTGAATCCTACCATGCCTGCCTTTGTGCCCTCAAACACTGACAAAAATGAGCTGCTCATAACGCACGTATGCGCCAAGAAAAATGATATCTTGTCAGTAAGGAAGAAAGAGAATAAACTTCTCAGTTGTTTGGCACTGATGTATTTTCCTTAATCCTCCCAAGGATGTTAGAGGCATTGAAGGCTGAGGGATCTCAGTATCAGTCAACCTCTAACCTTGGAGGAACTTAACTGGGTCCACATCAAGATCTGGCATGGGAGTATTCCTTGCTTTCTGCATTGGCTTTTGTGCCAAATAGCTTTTAAACCTATTTTTGAGATCTGAGAGCTCTGTGTGTCCTTTCAGTTCCCTCTCGAGTAATACGACAGTGCTAACCCTCCTGCCTTCGCAGTCGGGATCATACGAACAGAAAGCCGAGCTGTCCCAATGCACTCTTTGCTTTAGAGTAAGGTCTTTCAAGTCGTCTTAGATGTGCAGATTCAAGTCACAAGATCATTCCTTTAAAAAGCAGATAACTGATCTTGAGCAGCAGATTGAGTTGAGATCTCATGGGCAAAGATATTCCTGGAATCCAAAGGAGAAACATTTTGCTTCCTCATATTCCTGAGGAAAATGTCTCTTTTGTGACACATTTGGAGAGTCATTTTTGACGTGTTTAACTTTTACATTTTTGGAAAAAATGAACCTGCTGTAGTCAATATTCCTCCAAGGGCAATTTGAGATACTATCAGCTTGGGTTTTAGTATATTTTGGGTTCTAAGTGTATAGGAAATTACCTGTGAAATTGCCAGAAGGCTATTTCAGGTAGCAAAGAATCCACTTTAAGTAGGCAGAGGTCAGTAAGTTTCCAGCCGAGGTTTGAATGCGCATGCCTGCTCCAAGCTTGCTGAAAAATGCAGCTGCTGCAAGGTTTAGGATCCTTTCTGAAGGTCCCAGCTGGCAGCAAGTGCTCAGAACCAAAATGCATTGGCAGAGCAGCCTGTGCAAGTGGAGGGCACAACAGGATCGGGGCTTTAAAGCCAGACTTTTGGTGCCGAGAACCCGATACACACAGTAAATATGTCCAGGCTTACTTTGCACTTTGAACTGGTTTCAGTCTGGTTCTGTAGGCAGCACGGTAGAGGTCAGAGCATGTCACAGCCGCTCCTTTGAGAGCATGCAGCTTCTTTTGGTTTAGTCTCATCCAGAAGGAACGCGGTTGGTATGCTCCAGGACTGCTCTGCATGGCAAACTGAAGCATGGTAAGTGGGGATTACGGGGAGTCCTGCGTCACAAGTGTCCTGCTGATCCGAACTGACATGGGAGAAACACCTGTGATTTACCATGGGGAGTTTGCCACATGATAATTCGCTGTTACAAAATGTGGGGTTTTTAAAATTCAGATAGGTCTCCTTATTTGACCATCATGAGGACATGCATTACTACTTGCTATCCTTTCAGAGGCTGTACCGTGCAGAATCCATGGGAGGATGAAAGCAGTTCCCTACCAGTGACTGGGGTTTTCCTTAGATGAGTCTCTATTTATCTCCCCCAGCATGTTGGGGTCCTGGTAGGCAGAGCTGTGCCTCTGAAGAGGTGTCCCAAGGAACACTTGCTTTCAGCAGTGATTAGCAACCTGAGTAAACACGCCTGTCGTGTCAATACAATGTCAGGATCTTGAAGAACTCGAGCCATTAATGCACAGCCTCTCTCCTTGACTGGCATGACTCCATTAATAGCAGAAAAGAGGCGCTTTTGCATGTGGGTGAGCTGCTATGTCCACGTAGTCTTAACAGCATTACTTTATATGCTTGTATATTGGGTGATGGCTGTGATCTACAGCAATTTCTGCTGGCAAGAGGGATCACCCAGTGGCGCCATATGATGAAAGTGATGGCCAGAATTTTGTGATTTTATTATTATATTTGTAGGAGTGCCTGTCAGAATTAACACTGTACGCAATGAGTATGCACAGATGCAAAATACATGAGGTTTCTGTCTCAGAATGACTTTTTTTTTTTCCTTTCCCTTGGATTTGCTATGACTTTGTGTGATCTCGAGTGAGTCACTGAGGCCACTGATTTCCAGCGTGCCACTGACTGGACATCCAATTCTGGATTAATGCACGGACAGATTTATAGAGGAGCTGGACGCCACATGGTCTGCAGCAGTTAATGAGTGCTGGGTGCCTGGCTGGCTCCAAGTGGCATCCAGAGCTAGTCCCTACGTGTTAATACAGGCCTTCTGCTTTTTTTGACTCAGTTTCCACATTTAATACGTGGTTAAACATATCCTCCCTGCCTCACAAGGTTCCTGGTGCTTTATACATGAAAAATGCTCTATAAACACTACCTATACCTGTTTATGTATTTTTCTTCAACAAATGGATGTTGTCTTTGTACAATGAGAAGTTGAAATCATTTATTGCTTCAGTCTGAGGAACTTAATGTCCTGCCTGCAGCAGGCCTATGTAAAAACATTTGTAAGACAAAACATAGTAATATGTTTGTATTCCTGTAAGATTCTCGTTTGCCAGACGATACAGCTCTAACTGAAAGACTTGGAAGGGAGATGTCCTTTGACTTCTCAGTATTTATTTAAAATATTGACAAGGAGACTATAAGATTCTTCTCTTAATGTACTTATAAATATTTGGATCTTTCATATTTCTTAAGAAATATTGTGCCATTGTGTCTTCCCTTTGCCATAGAACTAGGAGGTTATTAAAATGAAAAACTGCCTTTTAGCCTGTAGTGTCTTGGTTGGGAAGATTATTTGTGCATATTTTCCTTGATATGTGAGCTGGTGTATATTATATAAAGTACTGCAACTGTGGTGGTGATTCCCCTGTTTTGTTGCTTTGCTACAACTTTTTCATTCCCTTCAAGCTTCACAGATAAATTTATATCGCTTCTGACAGCTTAAAATGTTATATCCTTATTAACCTTTAAATTTACGCTTTAAACTGGCCTGGTGGGATTGCATATGGAATGATTTAGATGACGCTTGAGAAAATTTTCTTATCCAATAACTAGTTTGAATAGTTATTCTATATTCATTATGAGGCTGTGTTACTGCAAGGAAAGTTGTTATCACTCGTAGCGTTGCTGGAGAGGGGGAAATGATAATGTTAATGCTCATTAGTGCAGTTGTTATGAAAAGAAGAAATAGAAAATAACTTTTTTTTCTGCCTTCCACAGTATATTGAAATCCATGGAGTTCGCACCGTCTGAAAGCTCTGGTGCGCAGGTACTGAACCTACTTTTGTTTTCTTAATTACTTGCAGTCCAGTTAATTAACAAAAATTTTGTCTTGCAATTCATTGGTGCTGGCATGGAGAATTTCCTGTTGATGTTGAGACATACGGGTTGATCATTGTTTTCCTGATGTTTTCTCATGTAAAAAGCTGAACTGAACATTTTTTGCCTATTAATTTCTTTTAAATGGTCAAGGACAAAGAACGATGTTTCAGCTGTGCTGGAGTGGATAACCATGATGTTGTGAAGTTGAGTCTTTTGAAGATACTGGAGTCAGTGAACAGCTACGTTGAGACTTGCGTGTTTCTTGTACTGACAGTACGCTGAGCAAGGATTTTAGCATTTTTAAGTCTGTGTTAGCCTTGAAAATAATGTTCACAAAAGAAAACAAACCTTTGAGCACTGAGAAAGCAGGAGAAAGCTCTGCTATTCCAGCAAATGAATCTTACTTAAGTTTAAACGTTATGAATTAAATTCCTGCTTCTGAAATCTGAACTGAATATCCTGGGATTAATTTTCAATATGTTTTTAATGATCAAGGGTTAGATATTTAGTGGGAGGTAAACGGCAGGTGTCTGTGATTGATTTTATTTTTGAATAAACTGTTTATGCTGAAATGCAGCATTTCAAGGAAATGCTGAACTTGTGTCAGTTGACCTAGAAGAAATAATATAATCTTAACTCCTATTTTAATCAGATTAAAAGAAGTCTACAGCTTTTAAATTGAAAGCTTGCCAGTACCATTTTAAAATAAGTAGGAGTAAGAAAATGTTCCATTATGCATTTCAAAATAATGCAGAATTGATGAATGATTTACTATGAAAATTAAACAGTGAATCTCTTCTATGGCTCACGTAGGAGCACTAAGGGATTCCTGCAAATATATGCATGTGAATTCCCTGGCTGCGTTCATAGAAGAGATGAGCACTTGTTTTCTTCTTCTGAAATCCTTTTCAGTGCCCGAGTGAGACTCTTCATGCTTTTAGAAACAAACCTCCCACTTTGATTTTCTTTAGGATGCATCTAAACCGCTGGAGGTGCTGCTGCTGGAGAAGAACCGCTCCTTGCAGTCGGAGAACGCCACGCTGCGTATCACAAATAGTGACCTGAGTGGTAGGTTGACACCGTTCTCGGCTATTCTGGTTTGTTTGCTGTCTTGTAAAGGGAGGGCGGGCTGAGTGAGAGATGAATGTCTGAGCTAATGCATGGCAGAAAGATTAAGAGGCAACAGGAAGACTGAATAATGTTTGATTTTGCAGTTTTATAGGCTGGATAATAAAATAGAACTTGGAGACCTCAGAGAGTGTTTAAAGGTTAGGAAAGAGGCATTACAAGATGTACCAAGTGGTAGCGTTTGAGGCTGTCTTCTGTTTGGGAACAAATTCATCAGTGGCACCAGAAGTCTCTTCCCCCACACACAATGTTATGCAAAATGTTTGCATGTAGAACACAATAATCTTCCTGTCTGATACACTTAGATATACTACCAGCAGGTCAGCTTGAAAAAACAAAATACTTTCTTTTTAGCGAAGCGTGTTTGCCGTTTAGCTTTCCTAATGTGGGTTTTTTACATCTTGCGTGCACATTTTTTAAATGGCAAGTCATGGAATTTCCAGATACTTGAATGCTTATGGTTTTTGCAGCTGGAAGAAAGCTAAAAGTTGCCACTGGCCCTGGGATTACTGAATTCTGAAGTGTTTTATGACTTTAACTGAGTGATCTTGGTGCATCCACCTAATGGTGATTCCTTTACTCAAATTGGTTTGTTCCAAAATGTAAATGTTTGCTGCATTTGGGTTCAGTCAGGTCCAATGAGTAATGTCTTGAATGAGAGACAACAAAGAGACTTGCTGTCTGTAACTGCATTTATTTTAAATGTATAACTGCACTTCATGTAATTGTTCTAGTTTTGATGTTTGTAAGGGGGATTCTCCAGGCTGCAACATACAAGAAAGGTGCAAACATGAAATGCATGTTGTTTGTTTTGGGGGCCTTGTTTGGCTTATGAAAATTTCAATTATGAAAAACAACAACAACAAAAAAAAAAGAAAACCAAAAATGAAAACAAAAACCCCACCGCCACTTCATTGGCCCTTGTAAATCTGCACTTTTTCCCTTTGCGGAGCAAACTTTGCATTTTTTATCTTGGTTTTTCCCTCTTTGATCCCCCATAATGCATTATGTTTGACCTTCCTTGTAGGGTCAGCCAGGAGAAAAGGGAAAGACCAGCCTGAGAGTCAGCGTCCTGCAACCTTGCCGGCCTCCCCTCCTTCTCAGTTGCTCCGCAACACGGGGGAGCAGGCTTCCAATACTAATGGTACACACCAGTTCTCACCAACGGGTTTAAGTCAAGACTTTTTCAGCTCATCCCTGGCGAGCCCCAGCTTACCCCTGGCCTCCACAGGAAAATTTGCACTAAACTCTCTCCTCCAGCGACAGCTAATGCAGTCCTTCTACTCCAAGGCAATGCAGGAAGCAGGAAGCACAAGCATGATTTTTTCAACAGGTCCTTACAGCACAAACTCCATATCTTCCCAAAGTCCATTACAACAAAGTCCGGATGTAAATGGCATGGCCCCGTCTCCCAGCCAGTCAGAAAGTGCTGGGAGCATCTCTGAAGGCGAGGAGATAGACACAGCCGAAATTGCACGTCAGGTGAAAGAGCAATTGATCAAGCACAATATTGGACAGCGGATATTTGGACATTATGTGTTGGGACTGTCACAAGGGTCTGTGAGTGAGATACTAGCCCGGCCAAAGCCATGGAATAAACTGACTGTGAGAGGCAAGGAGCCATTTCATAAGATGAAGCAGTTCCTCTCGGACGAGCAGAACATCTTGGCTCTTCGCAGCATCCAGGGTAGACAAAGAGGTAAGCGCTCGCCGGCCGAGGGTCTTGCCCTACTTTCCTGCTAGTTACAAATGTTAAAAATTGGAAGCTTCCCCGTACGGGGCCCTTTGTGTGTTGCTGCTGTTTTCACCCGATCAGATGTCAGGTACAGAAAGTACAGCTTTCTAACTCTGCTTTTCAGCACTTAAGCAGGTTAGTATCTTTGCTTATGCTTTTTTTAGCCACTGACTTGGTTTGTCAGTGGGGGCAAGCAGCAGGGATGCTTACATCCCTCACTTCTCAATAGCTCCATGTCAGAGCTAACTACAGAGTGAAAAGGGTCAGTAGCTACTAAGGGTATCACCCCTGAGAAATCCTTGAACATTTTTATTTGGGGTTGTTTATTGAGACCAGACTTCTGTTGTATCTTGTGTGACTTTTTTTCCAAAGTGTTTTGACAAAATATCATAGGTGATGCATGAGATGAGTAATGAAAAAACAATCCTAATTTAAAGCAGCTTTGCATATTGAAGGCAGTGATTTTAAGAAATAACGTGCATTTCATTGTGATTCATCTTAAGCAAAGACTGAGATTTACATTTAGAGAAACTGAAAAGTAAGTTGTTTACAGTCAAGAAATACTGGAAAGGACAGGCAGGATTTTCCTAGATTTTGTTTAATTGAAAGTGCACACTGTTAGATTTATAATCTGTTCTTCCTTTTGATGATTGTACTTGAGGGGATTATCTGCCCATCTTTAACCTCTTCATTTTTGGTATCTCTAGACATTTATTTATATCTGTCTAATCTCCTTTCCGAACGTAGCTGTAATCTTTATTAACAAATCAGCCAGCCTTGCTTCTTCCAAAGTAGCCAGCTCCTCCAGCGCTCAGACAAAGGCTCGAGGGGGCGAGGACAGCTCGAACCCTTGCATTCAGAGACAGGCTGCTAGCTTCTCATGTCACACAGCCCATGATGTCAGAGCAACCATCCCCTGATTGTTTTGTTCTTACCAAACTTGTTTTTCAACAGAGAATCCAGGCCAGAACCTGAACAGACTATTTCAGGAAGTACCGAAACGAAGAAATGGGTCTGAAGGTACGTCACAGGCAGGTGTTTTTCTTTGCAGTCAATACCTAGGAAGTGGAGTGTGCTTTAGCTGTGTGTTTCCTTAAAACTGTGCAGTTTGATTCTGGCCTGGAATCTGATAGAAAAACAGACAGTAAGTATAAAACAAACCATGGGTTAGACGAACACTTTGCTTTTTCTAATTCTGCTGCTGCTGTACTAACGTAACCCTGTTTGGATACTTTTTCCACTCCTAACACCACTGCGTACGCAGATCAAAAAAGATAAGTGATAGAAGTGGCTTTACAAAATCATCAGATCTATTGAAATGCTCTCTTTGCTACTTTTGTGATTTTGGAGGGAGAAAGTTGCACAATTCTGTATAATCCAACATCAGTCACATATAGCTTCCGCTCTAGATTTACTTCTTTCTTCTCATGGGGCTTATGTTGACAAACACACTTTAATGCGCTGTTAAATTAGTGTGATACTTCAATATGGTATATGAAAAAGACAACAAGATAAGTGAACATCAGATCAATACATTATCGCTGAACGGGAAGTACAGACATGTTTCTTCATTATAGATTAGTTGCAGAATTTTTCTTCTAGCAAGACGAGAAAGAAATAAAAACAAAACCAGGTACCCCAAAACACTGTAGTTGTTTTGACTGCAGTCAGAAATTACCTAGCTCCCGTACAAACAATAATCTCATAATGAAGAATGCAGTTCAGTGCGATAGCATTC